AAAATTCTATTTTTATCTTAATGTACCTTAATTATTGAAATTGATTGAACATCGATATTTCAATTTAAGGAATTTTGTCCGAATACTCATAACGTTTCGGACTGACCCATATGTAATTATAATAATTGTACGACTACGTAATAAAAAGATTACTAAAGAAAATATAGTAATCTAATTCCAAGTGTTTTTGTTTCTCAGTTTATTGTAATCATATCATAGAAACATGGGTTTTACTCTATGCGAACATTTCACACAGCATTTCACTAGTATCGCTTTCTATCCTTTTTTTTTTTTTAACTAGCCTTGTGCCTGTCGTCAAACGGGTAACATTAATAGGATTGAAATTACATTTTACAAATTTACATGTAATTTCACAGTAACATGGATTTCATGTAAATTTCACACGTGATATATAGTACCAGCATTATGAAAAACTCAGCTAGCATTACAGCATTATTGAACTACAGTAGATTCTGCATAAAGTTCACTGATCAAATCGATGTCATATGATCCAACCAATCATATGAGCGTATGATCACGTTTCTTACAAATTACATGACAAAATTACGTAAAATTCATGGATGGCTGCGTTCCAACAGGCCAACAATTCGTAACAATATACTGTGCTTAAAAATTATACACCTATTATAAAAACCCACGACTGTCGTCCCGACAGGCCATCTAGTGGTAGTTTAACCGGTTACCTTTTAATCCCACGAAACCTGTCGAATTAAACGATTAACTAGAACTTTACATTCGGGTAGGACGGGATCGACACAACCAGACTAAGTTTCGCGTTCGCAGAAGAAATAGTTATTTTCTTCTAACCATTAAAATGCTTAAATACTATAATTAACTTAGCTCATATACGTCATCATTACTATGATCCGATTTACTGATCGTAACTACGTATTACCTCACTATTTTCCTTACTCGAACCCATTACTAATAGTTAGCTCATTCGAATTAACTACTCATGTGACTGTAACCGAGCATGCGGTCATGTGTAGGTCATGAGACAAAAGCTACCTCAATACTATCGTATCGAGATTAATACAAGGATTTAGCATGAAAAATAATAAAGACAAATATTATTAAGTTATTTGAATTTGTATTTTAAAAGTGGAAAATTTTAAAACTATTTAATGAATATTCATTTTATTCGCGTTTGATTAGTCTAAGCATAAAAGTCATTGCATTTAAATTTATAAGCCGCACGAATAACGTGAAATAATTAATAATACAATTGACGATTATAAAAAATTCGAATTGTGAAAAATGTGCGTATTATGCATAATGTCGCATGACGATTTAATGATCGATCATTTATCGGCCAACCACACTCAAAAAAATTTTTTTTATAATCGGTCACGATCAAACAAATCAAATGATCGATCATCCCTAATCGATTATCATCTCTAGATTGCACTTCATGCAACATATGAAAACATATCCTTTTGGCCCTCAACTCGCTCAATATACTCTTTTTCCAGTAAAACGTCAATGCATTTTTTAATATCAGGTATTTTAGGCTTGAAACGATTCGACAATTGTGCAATCACTTCGTTCACCAGGACAACATGCTTCAATGTTTTTCTAGTCTTCATGATACGAACAATAGCGGCCTGCACATACGCCAATATACAATATAGGTAATTGTAATCTTTTATGAATATATTATGTCAAGTTTAGAATTTACGAACCTGCATCAATAATTTTCGGTCTTCCTCAACAGTTTTGTGGGTTTCTTCTACTTCTACTTTTTGTTCAGACTTGATAGGAACATTTAATTGAATACGGACTTTTTTACTAGTAAATAATAACAGAATATAGTATAGTTGATCATTATAGAAAAAGAGTAACACAAATTTCAAGCTAGATGACTTTATGTCTAAATAATAAACCTCTTAAAGTCCATGTTCAATTCATAACGAGACGAGGAATCACCGACTTCCGTACCATCAGAAAGTTCAAGTACTTTGGCCTTAACGAGGGTCCCTAGGGCACCTACCAAGACATCTGCATTCAAATCGGTGCTTTGTTTTAACTCTTCAAAGGTGTATGACGTATCTTTATTGTATTGCAAAAGAATACCCATTTGGTATGTTGATACCTAGAATGTGAAGGAAAAATTTATTCAGATTAAAAATCGATATCTGCATCAAAAATTTATCACCAATAAGTTGATTTAGCGCCTCTCAAATACCGACCTGGAATGTATAACCTGCCTTTGATAGGTGACAATAATTAGCCTTCAATTCACCTTTTGAAAGATGGAATAACCAATTAAGTTTGCGACCAGAATGTTTATGTTGGTAAAACATTTTGAAATGTTGGAAAGTTCTTTCAAGCTAGTGATTAAACAAAAAATGTCAAAAACTTATACGTGAAAATAAAAAGCAATAATCAATATTATATATATTACTTCTTCTGGTATAGTGAAATTTGTTGTAGATGGTTGAAGTGGCCAAGACGCAGTACCCAAAACAAGAACAGAGAAGTCGACTAAAGTGTATAAAAGTGTAGAATGAGCTAGTCTAAACCTAGAATAAATCGTTACAAATCTACATTTAAACAATTTAAATACCTTGTTCATTAGCTCCCATAGAATTGCGCTCTTTGAATTGATCGTTAAGATCTTTACTTAATCCCATATCAGTAAACATGCGCTGTAATTTTGACGTGTATTCGAAACCACACGCTTCCTGTAAGGTTATTCAGAAGACAATTTGTATCAATTACATTAATTAGATTTCAAGTTCACAGTAAAAAGGTTATCATATCCAACCTTTAATTTAGATATCATGCTTGATTCTGCATCTTCTGATGCTGATGTTCCGTTTACCAAACGTTTTGCCAACATCTTTGAATAGAACTTTTGGAAAACGTCCTTATCCTCCACATATTTAAATACAGTCATCTAAATAATATTAAATATTTTTCTGTTAGAATTGAATGGTATGAAATACTCAAGAATTACCATAAAACGCGGAAAGTACCTACAATATTGTTCAAGACCTCTTCAAGATCATTTTCCTCAGGGTTCTTTGAACTCTTCCTAAGCAACGAATCACAAAATCGGGCCAATAATTCGGGCGATTTTGATGTCGAGGCTTTGCACACTTTATTGCGATTTACGAATTCTCGGCATGCCTGATAGCACCATTATTAGCAGTGAACTCAAAATTGAACATGCCGACCAATATTAAGCATTTACCTTATCAAGTGAAGCAACGAAACCAGCTTCGCCTCTAAAGGCTGTTGTAACCATATCATTGTATTTAGAATGAACTTCAAGCAACGCATCAACATAGATTTTTGGTTCCTGAAAGCGAATAAACAAAAAAAAAAAAAAAAAAAAAAAGAGACAAAACATGTTACAGACATGGCTTTTGTGAGCAGTTATTATTTCGTTAATTA